GAGCGCCACACACCCTCTTCCTATTCTCTCTAAGCCGCTCCTCGTGCCGCTAGGGCGGCCGTAACAAGTTAATATCTTTGACTGCTAGCTTAGAAAGACATATAAGAATAATAATTAATAGGTCTTGAGTAGTGCAAATAATTATATAATTACACAATTTTGGTTTAAGAGCAATTATCGGTTATTTATTTTATGGCACAGCAGGAATTAAAGTGTATATCATTAATAAACACATGAATTAGCAGAATATAATATTTTTATTTTAGACATCTGAATGTGTTAAAATATCTAGAATTTCCCCATGTAGGCCATAGTTTGTCAGTCTATAGTTAGTACTTTTTATAAAAATCAACCCACCCGGACTTTTTAATATTTTATCCAACTTAATATAATCATTTGTCTTAGATCTCACATCAATATCATTTAATATTGTACTATCTTTCTTTAGAATGTCAAACAGACTAACTATAGTATTGCAAAAAATAGGCGAGGAACTATACATGTTATTTGCTGTTTTATACAGGCAAATCCCGTAGTTCACCATATCTATAGTTGAATCTGAGTTAATCGCTGTTTCCATAAAAGAATAAATAAGTTTTTTTGGATATTTACTGTTGTTTTCTCTTTGATCAATGTCTCTATTGTTAAATTCATATATAGTATACTCGTTTATGCTTTTTTGTATCTGAGTCAACCACGTTATACTGTATATATCATTGTCAAAGGCAACTCTAGTGTTCATGGAATAACAATGTATGTCTTCATATTTACTGTCTGAAGCTCTTATAATAAAGTCTGGATAGTAAATTTTAAAGTTTTTTAAGTCCTTGCCACCTTCGGATGTTTTATCATCTAGTTTGGTTACATGTATGTATGTGATTTTTAAAGGAACCAGATCTGTGTAACTTTTATCTTTAGCAAAATGGCTTGTTTCTCTATTCTCCATAGAATAGTTAGAAAATGTTGTACTAGATATAAAAAGATAAGAAAGAAATATTGGTATTTTGAATATTTCTGAGGTAGGGGCGCACTGTCTATCTTTATGCTGCAGTTCATCTGGTTTAATTTTGATGAAATCAAACTCTGCAAGTATAAAGTTTGTTGTCAGTATGTCTTCTTCTATTAGGTAAAACACAACGTAATATCCTTCATCCTCAATTTTTTTAATGGTTTTATTCATATCCTCGCTGCCATGTGGGATTATTGACCACGTGTTAGTTGTTGGATTGAATTTAAATGGATATATATTTGTGTGCAGTACATTACTAGAATCCGCCATTACATGTTTTTTGGGCTCTACAGTTACTAATGGATTGCTGTTAAGCATTGTGTGTATATGCAGTATAATATCTCTAATTTTATGAATGTATACCAACATCTTTATATTACTACCATTTTGATGAATATATATTGGAAGATGGATCATTTGAATTGAATGGGTCGTATTATTTACGAATTGTACATGGTAGTGATCTAGAATAGAAAGGGGTACTTTGTTCAGAAACACTGCATCCTTATACATAAATCGGATGTCCTGTCCTCCTGCTTCTAATTCTGACATTTCTATTTTAAACTCTATGTACTTTTGGTACATAATAAAATCTGCTCCTAACAGGTAATGATTATCATCAGCTGGTAAAAACATGTACTTTCTATCATTTAAACATCTTAATGAATCTACCCATTTCTTTTCCATATAAGCCACCTCTGTTGAGTAATAATAAAACAGGGATATTGACTCAAAAACTAGATTGAATATAGAGTAGGTGTCACTTATATTTATTCCCTTTCTATCCAAGAGAACATGCTTTATAATACTAAAGCTATTTTTTTCTAAACTCTGATTTTTTTGTGTAACCCCTATAAGATAGCTTACAATACTAATCATATAAACCATAGTGTCTATTGTATTTTCATCCAAATTATTATTAAGAGCATGCCTTTCCTGCAGTATTAAGTATCCTATGTTTTTTACATTTTCATTGGATATAAGCCGCATGTCTTCATACACCTCAGGTATGTACAGAATAATAGTCAAAGCTTTCTTTAGTTTTAAGTCTACATCTGCCTCT